GTGTGTCCACATTGAAACGACCAAAAACGCTTTTGGGCTTTTTTTTGTTCACCAATTCTGCTTTTTGTTTTTGTGTTAAAAATTAAAAGACAATTAAGATTGCATGTATCCTTGTTACAATAAGGATTTATTGATGAAAAAAAAATGTGGGACATAGTATCTCAGGCCATTAAATATGCTCATGTGTTTCCCTTTTTAATAACCCTTACCTATATTGAGACAACAGTGCTTTTTTCCATCTTTATCACATCCGATTCCTGAGTTGAGTCACAGGATATTCTTTTCCTTCCTACTCTGTTTGGCCACTAAATTGAGGTCTTCCACCCAAGCATTTCCATGAATACTGTCTGCATATATTTACATTGTCACCCCAACAGTCCTTGGTGTTGGTGTATGATTGTTTTTTTTCTTCTTTTTGTGTTGTTTTTTAGTCCCTCTGGTAGGTGGAGGACTATCTCTGAATGTTAAAAAGGCATCTGAAGCTAAAGTTTAGGCATTTTTCAGTTCCAACTCCTCCCAAGCTCCATACTGCTGCCTCAGATGAACTGTCAGCCAAAAACAGGCTGCAGCGCAGGGCTTTAATGGAGGACTGGAATAAAGAAGAAAGAGAGAAAAGGTATATGGAGTTGAAGATGCAAGGAGAAGTAAATGAGGTGGAATATTTGTGTTTGAACTGAAACATGATGGTGTCATTATGAAGACTGCTCATTTATTTTTTCATTTAGAGGCAGTGTTGCATGGTAATGTGTTATACAGGAATGACAATATATCTGCCTGGAACGTGCAGCATAACAAACGATGTTCTACTTTCATCATATAATAGTTATATTCTTTGATGGTTTGTGGTTGAGTGTTGGCAACTTGATTTGCTGATTAGGCATTTTGACATTGTTTTATGGTTAAATGTTTAACTTACTGATTGCCATTGTCACAGTCTTGTGTAATTTGAGCAGCAGTCTTGCATGTTAATGCATGAGCAGTGCCAGAAGTCTGTAGATGTTAATAAAGACTAATTTGTTTTGAGTTAACAGACACTGGCAGGAATAAGAATGACCGCAAAAACAAACTTAACTGAGCTGAAAAAGCATATAAGACAGTCCAGAAGAACTCAAAGTCCAATAGACAAATGAAACAGAAATCCAGACGAGGACTGTGAGGCAAAGCCAGGACTAAAAAGGACACGGGGAAGTAACTGGGGACAGGTGGAACCAGCAGAGATGGGCTGTATACAGAAAAAGTGAAGTTACAGTTGAATATTTAGGTATTGTGCCGTTTGATGTTGCACTTCGTAGATAGTCCCTGTCCAACTAACATACAGCCAATTTCACACAGACACCAATCTTATGCGTCTCAAAAAAGAGCTTGTACTTTGCTGTATGCCTCATTAATTTAGAGTTGGAATGAGTTGCCTGTTTAATAAGGGACGTTAGACCAGATTAATCTGTCTCGTGCTGCCTGTTTGATATTCTTTAATAAATGCTGATAGACTCTTTCTGTACATCTTCACCTCTTTGCACTCCTTCCCGGCTGAAGAATTGTAAAATATTACTTTTGTATTTGTCACCCAAATATTTTCCATTTGGTGACAATGAAAATTGCTGGGGGAATTTCTTTCAGAGCCATTTATCAAGCAAAAGTAGGAAAACATTATGACAACCCCTCAAGACACAAAAGTTTGTGTTGTCGGGTTCAAAAAGTAAAAGTACTCCTGCAGAAAAATATTCCCCATTAGTCACATTAGTCTATTTGCAGAAGTTTGAAACTGAGCCCATTTTAAATACTTTATATTCTCTTTAAGCTTCAGTAGAGTAGCACTATTTACCGGTAGCTCAGAAAAAGACCTAAATCTTAATTTTAAAAAGCATAAATGTATTTATAACATTTTTAAAATCACATCTGAATTAATAGGTTTAAGCATTGTGTGACATTGATAAGTGTGAATATGGAATTATAAACAAATACAAGATGTATTTGGAAACCACCTTATTTGTTTAAATTGACTGTTTTATAAAGAAGGATTTAGCAGGAGCTGATGGTTTCCCTGCACCATCAAGGCTTTTCTTGCTGATGTGCCTTTCACACTACTCCCAACTCATCTGCATCACACATGTTGACCAAGATGGTTAGTACAAAGAAAGCTGAGGTATCGGTGTGTGCTTGTTTAATTGCTAGTCCTGTTCTGGCAACTGATCTCAGAACAGTGAAAGCAGAGGCATCATCTCCGTTTCCCATTAATTCCCCATCAAAGAGGGGAACTGATCAGAGATTTGTCCACCATGCACAAACAGCCACAAAACGCTGTTTGCATTTGAACTTGAAAAGTTAAAGCCATTCTTAACGGGATATGGACACGCACCTGAATCTGGCCAAAAGCAGAGTCGAGACTGCTTGCACTGTCAATAGTCAACTGCAGCCACAAGTTGGCGGATGATCTGATATCCTCGTGTTGGTGTTGTTCCCAGACCATCATGAAAATGTTGCTCCAGGTTCAACATTGCAAGTGACCAATCACATTGTTGTGACGTTATTCCAAGCCATTCGTGCATTTATGAAATTCCAATGTTGCAAGGACAATATCAATTCTGCTTACTGTTTATTAAAGGGTTACAGTTAGGGTTAGGGTCAGGGTCTGTTGATCGGCAGACAGAGGTGGTTTCACGCAGCTTAAGTGCAGTTTTTTGTTTTACGCCGGTTTTTCCCGAAGTCGCAAAAGTATGACGTCACAACATTCTGATTGGTCACTTGCAATGTTGATCCTGGAACAACATTTAGTATGATGATCTGGGAACAACACCAACACGAGGATATCAGATCAACCCAAGTTGGCAATGATTTGAAGGATAGATGCAAAAAGGTGAGGGGCTGTGGGACAGAATGCTGTTTGAGATGAAAGGAGAGAGACTGTGTTACTGTTACGCCCCGTCCCCTTTAGCCCGGGATAGCCACTGGCCAGAGGTGCAACCTTTTCTCAGAATAGTGCAAGAACACGGGAAAAGAGTGTAACCGCGCATAAACCAGTCACTGGAAGGCTCACGGGGTTTATTTCACCAAGCCAAGCAAAATACTTGCAGCACACAGCTGAGCCAGGAAGCTAAAAGCTTCGGAGTCTCCGAGGCCAAAATAACAAACAAACAAAAAAAAACAAAAAAAAAACAAAAAAACAAACAAAAACCCTCCCCCATTCTAGTAACAAAACACCAGGGAGGTCAGGTGTCGTATTTTCTTTTTCTTGATCAGGGAAGTAATACCCCAACCTCCCTGGCTTTACATGAAACGGGAGAAAACTGGTCAAACAAAAATGGCGGAGAACCCCCTACCTGCTTCCACGGCAGTCCCCTGTGATCTCAATATCCCAAACAGCAGAGGGGCACAGAAACACTTATCACACACACCGCTCAGAGCCTCCAGAAGTCCGCTCAACCTTTCCGAGCTGCCGTAGCACGTCGCAGGGAAGGGGGGCTAGCGTGTGAGACACGGCCGTTTTGATCCCATGGCTAACGAGCCGTAACGCTACTCAGCTGCGTCACCCAGAACCCAAAAGACGTGACAGGAAGGGGGAAAGGGAAACAACAGCATTCTCCCACAGGGAGCGTCTCCTAGCCATATCAACAACCGTAACAGCTGCATTTGAACTAATGTCAATTTTTAGATTTCACAAGACAAGCACTGCTTGCCTTGTTTGCTATTGTTCTGTCTACATTATTGTTTGAACTTACACACGGATTCAGTATGTTGCTCAAGGATACAAATGCAATACAATTACATTTTCCACACTTGGCCAGGCAGGCTTGGCTAACCTTTGTCCCTTAATAAATAAAAGAAGAAGAATTCTTTATATACAAACATTGTCTCTTCCCATTCCCAGAGTAACAAATACGGCTGTATTTAATAAGCTGCTTAACACTTTTTGCACCAATCTCACACTGTGGTACAATAGGTGTGCTGGCATTGCCATAAATAGCAAAAGACTCAAGAGTCTCTTATAAGACCATACCATGTGTCCTGTTTAAAAGCTTTGTGTTTACAAGTGTTTAAGTTGTTAAGTTTTTTTATTGCTCACAGTTCTGTTGGATTCAAAAATCGAACTTTTTTTTACTTTCAGGGAAGCATTAGTGGTTTTCAGGTCACAATGTTAATTCTGCACAGTAAAAAAATTAAGCTAAAAGGTACCCAGTCCTTTCAAATGTGTCACCATGGGTCCTGAGACAGCATCCGTCCATAATCAGCACTGTGGCAATTTGCAGAAAGCTGCTGAGTGACTCAGAAAGAGTACCTTCATGAATATGAAGATCAGCATATGGCTTTCAATATTGCTATTACTTGGAACCACCACCATAAATCTAAGGGTAATTGAGCTTGAGTGTTTTTCATAAACAAGATGGAAGCGTGTCAGTGATTATAGACACACCTTCTTGGCTTCGTCTCCAAATGTTATGTTAATGTAATCACTAATAGAGAGAAAGTGCTGAATTGCTCTTTGATCCTTCATTACAGTCTTTCATGAGTGATGAAACCATTTTCATCAGAGTCTCAAGAGCTTTGTCAGATACACCTAACGGTATTCTACACTCCAGGAAACAGTGTTCAGTGGGTAGAACCCTTATTCGTCATCTCCCCCGTTTTCTGTTGAGTTTTTTCCTCACTCTCTACATTTGTATTTATCCGATTATGTTCCCTGGCTTGCTGCAAATCACTGTCAAAGTTCTATGAATTACACTTGCTTCTGTTACTGATTTATCTATTCTCACTCTCCTTTCTTTTCTTTATTCAGTTTCTTTTTTCTGTCTTCTCTCCATCTGTCATTACTTGCTTTCATTTTCTTTGTCAGTCATTTCTCTTGTATTCATTATCTGTCATTATTACCTTATTTTCTCTTTTCTTTCTCTGAACTTACTTTGTTATTCCATCCCCTTTATTCTCTTTATTCAGTTTCCTTCTTTTACGCTTCTTTTCTCTTGTTTCACTCCCAAGAGCACTAATTTTTCTGTTTCATTCTCTAGGATGTTCAGATAGTGAGCACAGATGAGAACCAGGTCTTCCTCGCCCTCCAGGAGTGGTACCAGTCAGACACATACAACCTGTACCAGTCAGATCCCAAAGGCATCTACTACTCCATCGTCCTGGAAAATGTTCGCAGCACCAAGCAGCCAGAGGAGAATGTTCTCATTGACATTCTGGAGGTAAGATGGGGTTGTCATTTTAAAGCACAAAGACTCAAAACACTTTAAAAGTGATTTACTTGTCAAATTGCTATTATTTCTCTAATGAAATAACATCCAAAGCCTGGGCAACTGTATTATAATACACAATCAGTACAAGAAAAACAGAGAATATTGTTAACCATATCCTTGCGCATGTTCATTGACCTGAACATGCGCAAAGTTTAAAGTAGAAAAGAGTAATGTGAATGTTAGGAAGCACTTTAACTTTTTGTTGTGAGAAACGAGTGGGGCGATGGTGGCTAAAGAGTTGGGAGTTCGCCTTGTTATCAGAAGGTTGCTGGTTCGAGCCCCGGCTTGGACAGTCTCGGTTGTTGTGTCCTTGGGCAAGACACTTCACCCGTTGCCTACTGGTCGTGGTCAGAGGGCCCGGTGGCTGTGGCTACAATGTAGCTTGCCATCACCAGTGTGTGAATATGTGTGTGAATGGGTGGATGACTGGATGTGTAAAGCGCTTTGGGGTCCTTAGGGACTAGTAAAGCGCTATATAAATACAGGCCATTTTCAAAGTAGTTTCTTACTTCAAATGTCTCTATGTTGTTTTCTTTCTAAACTAAACACCAGTTTCTTGACTCTGAATCTTAATACATGTTTTAAAGTCTTCTGTTTTTATATGTGTCCCTTATGAGGAAGTCAGGCTAAAAAGTTGTTATAGTTCCACAAAACAGTATTAAAATAAAGAGTTTTGTAAGCAGACCTGTGGGTTTAAGAGGGAAATAGGGAGAAAAAAGGACAAAATGTAAAAACTATTTTTATGACAGAAAATTCCTGTTGATTGCAGAAGGGGTACACTGTGTACTTATAACCCACCCATTAATGCACCCCGTTTGGATCTTTTAATCAAACTGTTTTCCAGCCCAGGTCATGGTGGTGGCAGGCAAAGCTACAAAGCTTAGGAAGCTGGGTCATTTTTTCTGGACAGCTCTTCTAACCCATATTGAGTGATCAGGGGACATACAGGGAGTGCAGAATTATT